TCTCGCTCACTCTCTCTCTCTTCCTCCTCCATCGCATTCACGTGCAAATTCCTATGCATTTTTTTTCACTACTATACACTATTTTTTTCAATTTTTCTCCTTTTACAATTTTGTACCAAAAAATATTTTTATAATTTCCGTTTTTTATATAAATTTGCATTTGTGTGTCTGCCATTTCCGTTGCCATTTGCCACTTCGCCATTTCCGTTTCTTGACATCTCTGTGCAGTAGGCCATGTGCCACCCCCCATTTTTTTCACCCCTCAGCAGCGTGTGTTTGCCATTTCCTGACCTTCCTTTTACCAATTGTTGTGCCTGTCTAATGCAATATATTTGATTTCTGTTCAATGCAAGAGATTTCAAAATCACAATACACCCATCTGCCCAGAGAGTATTAAAGACCCAGATGGAGTATTAAAGACTCAATTATTAGCGTTCGCTCATTTGTTTCACCATTTTAGTTCTTCTATTTAGGGAAGTAGGACTTACTGTTAAAGCTCTTCGAAATACTTTTGTAGTATATTTTTTTTTGATGTCGATCTCCACTTCAATTTTCTTGCACCTACTATACTTATTTCCCTACAGCTCTCAGAAATTCTTAAACAATTTCTTTAATATTGTGCCGAAATTTCATTCAATATTTAACATTTTTTAAATGTTCGACAACTTTATAAACTTTCCATTGCATACTTTTGTGCAGAAATCGGCAGATATTTCTAAATTGTACGCATTTAGAGCTCAAATATTATTGAATGTAGTTAAATATTTGAATTGTTTAGTTACATTTAGGGCAATTGTTTATGAAATATTAAAATCTATGCATTTAGCTTTTCAGAGAAGTCGTTCGATTCCTTAAGCTGCACTGCAGGAATACCTTCCCGATTTCTTTGTACATTTATGAAGTTTCATGTAATGTTAGAGCTCAGAATAAAATCAATATTGTTCGATCTGCGAAACCAACCACAAGTCCTGTTATTTATTTAGGGTTAAACGGCTTATAAAGGTGTGTATAGGTCCTATATTATTTTAGGGATTCGCAAATATCAACACTTTTGCCGAGAAAACTACTGATGATCATCTTATTTTGTAATTCCTTGACTGAACTATCAACAAAGAAGAATCTTTCATTTCGTTTTATTTATTTTTTACTTTGATATTTTAATTCAAGTAATATTTGAAGCCGGTTGCATAAAAATTGCTTAAACAATCCGCACAAAAATAGTTTTGCATTTGAGGATCATAGAAGAAGACCCGAAACTTATTTTAACTTATTTTATTTTAACCTAAACAAAATAGAACAAAATAAACTACACTCATTCAAACACTTTGTAACGAATAGTCTTTAATTATAAATAAGCCGATTTACTTAGACGAAGTTTGTATTTGCTTTGTAAATAAGCGAGTCCATGGGAATCTCGAAAATGGTCATCATTTCTGCGGCCAACTCCTGAGCCATACTCGCCAACAAATTCATATTAATTCATCATGTGGTAAGGAAAGCTTTAAGGTCTTAATTGCCAGAGTAGTCGCAGCAGAAGCTACAGAAGCAACAATTGCAATTTGTAATTAACATTAAAAATGATCAAGCCAAGTATCATAAATTGTTTGACAGTCATAAATAAATGCTGGATGTGCTGAGCGAAGGAGAATGAAAGCAAAACTTCACAGACACACATAAATTCAAGGAGACAATGAGCAGACCAGACCAGCAGCAGGAAGGAACTCGCATACAAACAACAATGTTGCTTTCGGAGAGCACACACACACATACAGAAACACACACACACATACTCGCATATAAGGCAAATATATCAGCAGCATGCGGCAGTAAGAGCATAAATGTTCCATGATTTAAATAAAATTGCATTAATATGTTTTCAAAAAGCAACCGAAAGCACCAAAAAGTCACACACAGTCCCAGGAGCGGCCACTCGAAAATCGTCAGAGATGAGCCCGGAAAGTACTTGTGACTTAATCTATATATCTGATTCACTACTTTAGAGCATATTATTTTTCGAGTATGTAAACGATAAGCTGCTCCCTAAACTTCATTTTTTTGTGTCCAATTGGGTCAAGCCTAGCTGAGGTTCACAAGATTCTGGAGCAGTTCATATGATCTGCTGGTGTCAATATACTTACTGGATAGCCCAACACATATTCTCTAACCTTATCTAATTACACTTGGAATTTATTCATTTTATTTTCCATCTCTTGTTATGAATATAAAATTATTTTGTTTATTTTATATTTATTTATACTAGCTTCTTTTTACATAATATTATTATTATTCGCATTATTTTATGTTTAGGTTGCCTAATATAAACGATTTGATTGATCTATCCTTATCTTATTACATTTAGAATTTATTCATTTTATTTTCCATCTCTTGTTATCATAATAAAATTATTTTGTTTATTTTATATTTATTTATTCTAACTTTTATTAACATAACATTACTATTCCCATTATTTTATTGTCATATTTAAAATTATTTTTTTTTATTTTCATCATTGTTTTTAATGTTCTTATGTTTAGGTATACTATAATATAATACTATAAAGAGAAAAGATTTGTTTGTTTATTTATTTGAATTGAATAGGCTCCAAAACTATTCCTATTAAAAGGATTATTTCACTGTTGGGAAGCTACACTTTCCCCAGCTAACATAAGCTTTATTAAATTTGCACAAAAATAGGAATCCTTTCCAAAACGCCAATAATGTAACCCAAGGTGTAAAAAAATTACCTAAAAAATTCCTGAACAGGATGCTGGTAGTTCAGAATCATCCTCGAAACATTATGTCACTTTAAATATTAAAGCAATGTTATTCAAAAGTCCCCAGCCAAATAAAAAATGGCAAATCCACACCGTGGCTATTATCGAAGACACAGTCCATTTAAATTTATATTTATATAAATGTATTAATTTATATTACACTTTGCTTCAAGTATTCTTTACTTACCCTTAAAATAATGCCACAAGTCAACGCATTGTCATTTCTTCGCGCCTGGTTTCTCCTTCTTTTTCTTGGCATCGGTGTTTCTCTCCTTTCCACTGAGAATTTCTTAATTGCTGCTACTGTGGATTAAGAAATGTAGAATTAAGAATTATTATTATTATTACAATTATTATTACTATTATTCTTACTACTATTATTACAAAGATAGCAAAAGGAAATGGTACAACTATGAAATAAGAATAACCTAATTGGTATAGATTTAAAAAAATATAGCATTTGGCTTATTTTTATTTTATTATTATTATTTTTGCAATTGTTTCGTTTATTGATCGAATTTTGCATTTTATAATTTGTAATCTTAAACAAATTTTCATTTGTTTTAGGTAGTTTGAAATAATAATGCTATTTTCTCAAATCAAATTAAACAGTATTCAGAAATTGTGAAAACTTGTGAAATGAGTCAAAAATATTATTAAATTATTCATAAAAATTATTTATTATTATGAAAGGGAGCTTAGCGCTGCTTACATAGCTACCACAATTGTATGATTAAGTAAAGCATACAATACCATGGATTTAATATCCATTTTATTTCAAATTTTCCATTTACAAGTAAAATCTCACATCTATGTACTATGTGGGTGGGAATTTATTCACAACTGTGCGTTGAGTCACAATGTTTAGCATCGCTAGAGGGCGCCACTGACATGGTGGGCACTTGGCCAGCAAGCGAAGGGCGATTCATATAAAGCCGCGGCGCAATGTAGTCGAGTCGAGTCGAGTCGAATCGGGGCCCATAACTCATCCTATACACACCCACATACACACTCAAGCACACTCACTCACTCATACACTCACAGACTCACACACTCACTTGCAAATTTCACACCAAAATCAAAAAGCAATAATGATGCTCGAAAAGTGAACAACATGAGGTGCATGCGAGTGTCGAACAAGAAGAGCGGGGTAGAGTGGGGGGGGGGGGGTCCTGTAGAGCTTTTTTAGTGGGGCGCCAAGTACCGACTTTGCCCGAGTGTTTGTGTATATGTCAGTGTGTGTGTGTTTGTGTGTTTGTGTGTCTGTAGTAGTTGTTGTAGTATTTGTCGTTATAAATTTGACATCAATTGGCGCGGCATGTGGCCGAGAAAGGCAACAAGCAGGGCTGTGAGAGGTGTTTGGAGGAGCTGCTTGTGTGGCATGTGGCAAGGAATGCATGAAGGACGCTTCTGTGGCAGCTATGTATATACATACAAGTACATACATATGTATGCTTGTGCGTATACATAGCAGCAAGAACGCGATGAGAGTTGTAATGCGGTCATAGAGAATTATTGGCAGACAGCATTGCTCTGGGGCAATGAATGCTTTGAGAGCGTAAGAAATAGAAATAATTTTATGGCTTGCTGATAAAGTAAATACTTGTAGGACTACCCACCTACTATATAGTATACTCCCAATTTCGGATAAATTGCTTTACTTTACTTTTCTTAACTTTACAAAAATGCATCGCACGGCCCTCTGTGTGAATTCAGGTTGAGTTTAGAAAGCGATGCATTCCTTTGAGCAGCGTGAACCAATTTTTCCATAATGCTTTTGACAGCAGCAAAGGACAAGCTGCTAGTTTCCCATCTCGTGTGCCCATTAAGGGAAAGTTAAAGGAAGGAGTGGCAAACAAAAGAAAAGCATTAATTTCTTGGCGATCTTCTTTCCCACGAAAATTTGTAAGGCAAATTGATTGCTACCTCATTTTAAAAGTACTTTTAAAACAAGTCAGGCGTGGGCTTAGTTTTTTAAGAATATTTTGTGTCTTAAATGTTATTCCTTCTAGAATAATTAAAAATAATAAATATTCAATTTTCGCAATGGACTAATCTATACCGAACAATATTTATTTTAAAATAAAAATCGAAAGTATTTGTATATTTTGTTAAATCAAATATTCATTTCTGCATTTGTTAATAAAATAAAGACCCAATTACTGGCAAATAATTCCCATTTTAGACGGAGGAATTGTCTAAAGTGTTTTTGCTTAATTGCGAATAAATGATGAAGTTAATATAGTTCGTCTAATAATAAGAAAAAGCTTTAATTTAACAGTTTAAATAACGCTCTTGTTGGAAAATATAATTAATTTACGGTTCCATGGTAATACAGAAAAGCTCTTTTAAATAGTTGGATTTGCTGAAGTTTGTTTATTTCTTTTTGCACTTTTTTGCATTTTTTTTTTTTAAATATTATTAAAAACTATATCTGTGGCCTTTTAAAGATTCCAATACATGTTCGGCGCATATGAAAATACTATTACTTTTCGTTTCCATTATATTTACAACAGCTTCAAGAATCCCTAAAAATTTGATATTATTTCTGCCTTAATAATTTGATATTATGTTTGATTTCCTATAGGCATTGCCTTCTATGATCAGATTTTCTATTTCAACAACGATTTCATTCAAATACTTTATAAAATGGCGCTTTGCAAATAATTAATTATATTAACTAGCATGCCCAGCCGTAGAGCCAACAGTTAGGTTAAATACCTTGACAGTCACTCATGATGTATTAAAATGTTGATTAAATAAAGTACGGTTCGTTAAAATTATAATTTATTTATTATATCAGCAGAAAAACTTCAAAAAATCCAACTTAGTTATATTTTGGGGCGAAATAGTGCGCTATAATAATATTTTCTAAAGATTTAAGGGGCCGACTCCCTTGCTAATAAAGCCAGCTATTTTGCCAATATTCAATCAATCAATCAAATCGTATAACAATAATAATGTGGATTGTAGAAAGTTCCAACAAATGAGAGTGAAATACAACAAAAGAAGAAAGTTTAAGATTTGTATCTCATATTGGAAATGAAAATTATTCCTTTACAGAAACTGCATTTTAATTCTAAAAAGGCTTAGAAAAGGGTGAATGGCAAATCCTGAGCTATTCGATATAAATCAAGTTTTAATTAAGGTACCAACCCCATTTCGCAGAAGTAGTATTTCCGGTCTTTTCAATGGAAGTTATAGTCATAATCTAAGCATGTAGCTGATCCTCCATCCTGACACTGTTCTTGCAAATGCAATACTTTCTGGGTATTTCCAGAGCCACGCAACCAGAGTCCTTTGCATGCGAGTTCAGGCGACTTATGAAATCCATGTTCATTTCGACGCCTCCAGTAATGCTTTTATAGAGCACTGTGGTCTCGAAATGAGCCGAGTTCGGGTTTGTCTTGAAGTTGACCACAAAGTAGCTTTCGTTGGCATTGCGCGGCTCATCATTTGCGTCGACAGGCATCTTCAGCTGCAAGCTATCCAAGTGCTTGAGGGTGTAGTCGTGGCACAGGTCTGTCAAATGCTGCTTCCGCAGATGATCGTTCATGTACTGGACCACGGCCAGGGCAATGGGTCGGGCAAAGGACTCGTTGGTTGCGTCCTGTGTGGGATGGCAACTGCACCAGTGCTCGTCAATGCCCGCCTCCTGGCAGCTGCGATTGAAGGGCAGCTCGAACAGCAGCGACTGGCAGCTGGCACATTGTGGCGCCTTGGGTTCAATGTCCGCCATGGACTGGCTATCGAGTTGAAGCAAGTGCCGCAAGGTCATGTAGAGATCAAAATTGGAGGATAAGCGATCACGATTCTTGCCTAGATTCTTCACTAAATGGGGATATTTTTGGCGAAACCAGGGCGGAACATAAATAAACATCATGGGCAAACGTTCCTCCAGAAAGCCATTCGGCCCATGTCGCACTATTTCGTCATAACGATGTCCATGATCGCTCATGAGAACAACAATGGAGTTCTCGAACAGTCCGGCCGCCTCAAATCTTTCCATATAGTCCAGAAAGTGTTCATCCAAGGCGGCCGGTGCTGCAAAGTCGTCGTGCGTGAAACTATTGCTCCAGAGCAGTCCAAAAATGGGCGTCTCGTTGACAAATCGCTCCACAAACTGCAGCCCGAAGTCAAAGACATAGTTGAAGCTCAGATGGCGACCCACACAATAGACATTACCGAAGCGATGACGCAGCTTGAATTTGTCCTCCAGCGCCACAATAAAGTGCCGCAAATAATAGTCCGTGGGCTGTTTCAGAAAGCCCGGCTTCAGGTATTGCAAGGCATTGAGTTCCACGCAGTCCTCGCCATAAGCCGTCAAATAATTTGCCTGCTTGTAGTTCCTCCAAATGAAGGGCAAGCGATCCAGACAATTCACCTCAGACACATTACAAATGGCCCGGGAGCCTGCTTCTGAATGGCCCGTGAGTGCGGCCAAGATGTTGGGAAAAGTATTGTCCCCCACTTTGTTGTAGCCCTGCATCTCGTACCAGCCCTCCTCGTTGACGAACTCAAACATTTTGGGCATTGTGCGTCGAAAATTGATGCGAGAAACCGAGTCCAGGCCCATTATGAGGACGCTCGGCTTCTGTTCCCTCTCCAGCATGTAATGCTCTATCTTCTGGGGCGGCAGCTTGTCCTGCACAAAGCTGAAGGCATCCTCTTGCACTTCATTCAGCACAGTGGTCGCATTCCGCATATAGCACTTGGTGATCATGAAGTCCGTATCGATTGGCACAATCATGCGATGCGGCAAGTAATATGCTTTGGATTCCCTATACAGTATATGCAGATTGGCAGTAAGGATGTAGGAGTCTATAAAGCTATTTGCACTTACGCATAGGCATTATCGGGCACCTCAGCTTCCATATCCCGTTTGATTTCCTGATAGCTGCAAGTTATTGTCTGATGTCCGGTGCTGTTTAGGTAGGCCTCGCTCAAATTCGCGGGTATACTGACCCGATACTGCCTGAGATCGAAATCAAATTTGCTTTCTATCAAATCTCGCTCCTCAGAGCACTCCTCAAAGACATGTTCTTTCATATTTTTCATAACATCGAGTGTAAAGGGATTAACAAATGGTATTTGACATTTCGCATTGTACACGTAATATTGCTGCCCCGCCTCTTTTGTAGATGCTGAGGGCTCTGAAAATACACACACATCTCATTTATATGGCAGCTTTCAAATAGAAGGAACCCCTCCTAATCAACATTTGTGACAATCTTCCCAGACGAAGAAATAAATGTATAGGAATATTATTTACTAACTATAATTATAATATACTTTTTAAAGCCTGATTATTCACATGATAGCTTTATAATATCGTAGTTTAGTTTATGGAAAAACACCACACATTTCTCGTAAATATGGTCGATCCAACTCTAGATATTCGTACATTAAAGGTATTGCAAAAACCCGATCCTTCCCACTCGAATAATTTTCATCATTTTAAAACGATAGTGGAAGAGAGTAGTTTCTGATTATTTAGGTACCTTCTATTGATGCCGACGGCCCTGGCAATAGAGCTATCAGAGTCCCGAAGAAGATACATTGGATCCGTTGTTTCAACACCTGGCACCTTAAACTCATATTTTAAACTGAACTAAAAATATCATCAGCAGTACAAAATTAAATATGAGAGTGTTTCTAAAAAGCATGCGAAGAGCGTGTAATCCATAGACCAAACAAATATGTAAAGCTAAAGCTATTTATATAACATGTAGGTAATACAAGTATATAATTATATTGAAGCTGCTTATCAGTATCAGTAGCTTCTATTCCACAATACTCAGAGACTTTGGCAAATCCAATAAATACCTCATCTTATCTAGTTGGTAGCCAGTGATGGATTTGTGTAGACAGATAGTACAGAGTTTGATTATAAATAGATGGTGGAAAAATAAACTCTAGCATATTTATATTAAAGTACATATGGGTGATAAATGAAAAATGTTATAAGCTACGGCTCTTACTATACTGTTTTAATTAATATAATTAATATAGTGCTTTAATTTAAGAATTTTAAAAATGAATGCTCCGACTCCCTTAAAACTAAGGTGGTTTGTTGTTACTTAAGATTTGTGTGTTAATTTTCAATCTAGTATGAATTAATGCATTCTGTTATATAGTAGTAGTCTGTAAATTGCAGATAACAATATAAATTACGATTTTTAAAATTGGAAAAAACGTAGTTAAAATATATAAATATTTGTAAAAATTTTGAGATGATAATAAATGCACCTTAGTGTGGAAAACCTTTAATTTATTTAATGAGAGAATGTAGATTAATCACAACAATACATACTAGCAGATAATGTGCCAATATGAATTCAAATAATCAAAGCCAACTTCTCTCGAAATAAAAGGATCAGCTGCTATACAATCACTCGATTCCAATATATTTCTAGAAAACCTTCGATATACATAGAATATAGATAGATATAGCTATATAAGAGAGATGTAGATAAATACATTCAGCATTCCTTTTTAATGTTCAAAAAAAACTGCATGAATTCAGAATTCTATTTAATATAACTTTATTGATTTAATATTCAATTAATGCGTTTTTTTTTTTCAGATAACTAGAAGATGTAGTAAGCTTTATTTCAGAAAAATTCAATTAATTAGCACGGCCATCTAGCGGCAGCTTTCGCAGCATATACATATGCATAAGGGCGGTCTCATAAACATGTTTACTAGAAAAACGCACGCATAAACGTGGACGCTGGTTCTTGTCTTTGCTCTCCTACCTCGCTTAGTTGCTAGTCTCTGCTCATAATATAGATATGGGTTTTTGTCTTGGCTGTGTCCTTTTATTTAGTTGTGTGGTGGATTGTGCCAAAGGATTGTGCATTGGATTATGTGTTGAACTGAATTGCGACAAGCATTTCATTTAAACATAATTGGGGTTTAGTAAGTAGTAGTAGAATAGTAGTAGATGTAAGAATTTTAGATACATAATTGAATTTAGAAATAAGAACAAAACATATTACACCCAATTCTGTGTTTATACGGTAGATTGGTTCCAGAAACAACCGTGTAAAAAAACCCATTGAGATTATAATGTTATATTAAGTTATATCATATATGTTTACATTTTTTTTATTTTAATATATATAAAATGTAAAAATATATTTTAATAATTATAATCGACAGAAATATTGTTCATGTACTAAATAAATAAATAAATAAATATGTAAAAACAGGTGATTAAAGAACGTTTTTTTTTTTATAATCAACGTTCTTTTAGGCTGCCAAAAATTCGATAATAAAATCAAATCTTTAGAATGAAAACAGCCCCGTCAAGAGGCTTAATTTTTCTAAAAAGTTGGTGTACACTATTTATTTATTCCATATTCATCAATTGTTGTTGCTTTTTGAAAGGGTAAAGGGTATACACGTATATAGAATTCCAATATATAGAAAATTGTCTTTGACCATTTTTTTTTCAAAACCATAATTTTTTTTTTACAACAAACGAATCTGCCAATCGATGAGAAGAGGCTAGTTTTAGACTCTTTGTTCAAACATGTTTACGAATTATACATATATACAAGTATACAACCAAATATGAATTTTATGAGTATTTGCTTCCCAATCTACGCTGCTGAAATGGCCAGGCAGCGTTTGGGGTGCGAGATTATAGGGTGTGATGTTTTTAATATATTTTTTTGTAGTTTTCCAAGAAGTCGTTAGTAAAAGATAGATTCAATTATGTAAGCAATATATACATATTCCATGTCTAAGAACCTACGTGTTAGTTCTATTTTTGTATTATTTATCTATTATTGTAAATAAATGCATAATGCATTGCACTAATAGTTATCTACAAATCAACTAAATAAATGTCTGCAAATTTGAAGAAATTGTTGCTTCTGTCGCTTTACAGTTTATTTTCCAATACGAAACCGATCCATTGCTTTCATCTGTCGCTGCCGGCTACACTTCTGTGAACCCCCGAATCTGCTGAGCACGCTAATGATGTGTGAAATTCGTCCTCTCACCTGATGTTGATGCTATTGTTGTTGCTGCCCATGCCCGTGGCAAACTTCGAGACATGCAGCCACTTAATGCGTCCTGCCTACCTGCCTGCCTGCCTGCCAGATATCCCCACAATTCCCAGCCAACAGCAACTTTTCAATTTCACGCGACGCACATAAACAAAAGTGCAAGCGTTTCATGTCGATGCATTGAAAATGACGGCCGCCAGCAGGTGAGTGAGCAACTGAAGGGGGGCATGGGAGGGTTAAGATGAGGCTGGCAATAGAATGGATTCATATTCCCGTCACGTTTTTAGCCACTTTTTGGTGACAACCAACCGGCAGGCAGCAGACTGAACCGGCGAACGTGTGCACCCACACCCACAGCCACACCAACACCATCGTCCTGCATTTCAAGTGCATTTTAAAATTGCATATAATTTTTTATAAAATTGTGCACATTCCCATTGAACTGTATATAGAATTTTTGATCGTGGTTAGTCGTGTTATTATTCCATCAGCGATTCGTTCGCTGCTGTCGTTTCATTTCAATTTTTTATTCAATTTGAAACAGTTAGCTCTGACTAATGGAAATCTGCTTTCGAGTGCAAGGCTTAGCTTCTAGCGAGGTGTCCTACTTTTTAGTTGGACAACTTCCTTTTCAGATTGTCCTCCCGACTCATAAAGTGGACTATTTTACGCAGCTTCCTGCTAATCACGAGTATAGCAAACGAGTATATGTATCGCACATCTAATTACAATTGTCGCATTTTATTGTTTAGTCTATTTCGAAAGTTTTGTGCCGCTTCGGCTTGGCCTCGTTTTGTTTTCTTGGCACGCCGCCGTTGGACAAACTTTTCGCATTTGGCCAGCAATTTAATGGCAACCGATCCAATGCTATTGCTATGAAAATATACAAGCTTGCCAAGTGCTCATTAGTTTTCCCCAGCCGCCATAAATAAAGAGTTTTTATTAACACATTAAAAATGTGAGTGAACGAATTCCACAAAGTAGATGTAAAAAATTATTAACGGTATAAGCGAGAGTATTGATATAATTACAGATCAGTCGGCAACTATCGCTTGTGTTTAAAATATTCGTCCATATACTTGTGTAGTATGTTTTATAAATATCGTTATACACTTATACTCTAATAACAGTTCAGAGCCAAAATCGATCAATTTCAGCAGAATAACTCAGGAAGTAACACCACTTCTTAACAAAAATATACGCCAACATTTTAAAGAATAGAATTTGTATTTTTCTAAACTTAAAGTTGACTGGAAGTTTTTGATGGAACTATTGATTATTAGCTTTAATAGAAAAGTAAACTGTTGTCTAAGTTCGAAATTAAAAAATCATTTTATTTTAGTTTCTTCTTGTTATTTTTTTAATAAGGAAATATTGCTGCTGCTTATTCAACTTATTCAAGTTCCATTAATTTCAAACTATGGAATATATAATTTGTATATAATATATAATTTGTAACACTTAATAAGAACACAATACAATAGCTTTTCCAGTTTGTTTTTTAACTTTTTACTTAGCATATTTCAATAATGAACCACAGGCTTATGGCGTTATGAAGGCCCAAAATCTCAGAATATGCCGCCCAGAAGTAAAAGTTCATCAAGCCATTAGATTGGATAAGTATTGTAGGCCATCTTTTTGTATCTCTGCATTCATTTCATAATTATAATTAATGCTTTTATTTTATTTATTAAATGCTTCTATGCGATGTAAAATCGACACACGAACAGTATATTTATTACCTATGTATATATATTTATAATACCAAAAATTTTTAATATTCGTTACAAAATGCCGTTTGTTTAAGCCAAAAAGATTACACTTCCAAAATCGATTGAACAAAAAACTATAAAAAAATTCGTTAAATAATGATCAAACGATTTTATGTATCTAGAAAAGAACCAAGTTGTTTAGCAACAAGATGGCAATAACTGAATCGATTTCATCCGGCTTGCATCTATATTTTGGAAAGTCCCTCTAAACACATTCCCACAGCACACCCGTGGGAACAACGGAAACAATACATCATCATTTGCATAGCTTATAAATTTTATGAAGCTGCCCAGCCCACAACACAAAAATGAAAGGAAAAGGACGGGAGAGGCAAATGCTTTAAAATAGACAACAGACAGACAAAAAGTGGTTTGATTGAAATAAAAACGGCAACAACCACAAATAGGAAAGTAGGAAATGTATAAAATATACGAGTTGGTTGGTCGAAGGGGGTGCAGGAGGGGGCTGCACTAAAAATGGCAAATTTTATTTGCATGTGAGGCGGCATGAGGCTTTTCATTCGTGCCGTTTGGGATCATAAAACGATGGATGCAGGGACGCAGACGAAACGGAAAAAGAAGACATCACAGTTGTGGAACCCTTTCCCAATATGGCCATGCAGTCCCAAGCAGATGATGGCAAAAAAAAAGTAAAGAGCAGCTCGACAGTGTTGTCCGCGGAACTAGTTCTTTAGATAAATGCGAACTAGAATGCATTTCACTAATTATTGATGAGGACAGACGGGAAATATGGTCAACTTAATTAGGATAATAATTTCAACTAATTAGCAAAGAAAGAAATAAAAAATTATCTCACAAATTACAATAAATTTGATGGGGCATCCAGCTAATTATGTCAAGGTCAAATGTGGTTCAGCTGGCAATGGGGACAGTCTAATTGCAGTTACTCTTGTTATTAGTATTAGTAATTTATTTATTTATTTATTTTATTATAATTCACTCAAACACACAAGCGAAGAACAGAAGAATAATTGCAAATTATTGAAACATGTTTATTTAAAGTGTGTCATGAGTGGTTAATTCTTAATTAATACTTTAGAAAAATAAGCTTTAAGAGCGACTCTATTCAGACAAAACTTACAGAAATTGGCGCATTATGTATATAATCTAGCTGTCATAGGAACGACTTGTTTTAAATTATTTTTAAAAAAAGGAAAGAAGTTCGTCTGCGAACCAGTTCATAGCACAGCCACAGCACTTTAAAGTCAGACCCACATTGGCAAGTGCTTGCGACGTGAAGCGACAAGCGTCTTAACAATTTCCTGCCAACTTCTGCTTCATTGCATATTTCCGCTTCCGTCCGTCCAAGTGCTCGTCGGTCGTCTGCTCTGTCTGTCTGCCAGTGGCTTGGCCTCGGCCTCGGCCAACTTCTCTCTACACACATGACAACGGCTCTACTCGTAGACGAGCGGTGACGACAGCATCGCATCATTCGTTTTTTTTTTTTCTATCGCTCTGTTCCTTTACGATTTGCAATTATTTTTGCTCAATTCAGCAGAAGAGAACATGCCCGCAATTCCTTAAGGACAACTAAAGGCAGTAACCAAGTAGCGTCAGGAGGCTGTCAATAGTGGCAACTATGCAGCCCCCCTGCCCCTTTCCGCTTTCCCTCTACGTCTGTCCCTCTCCCGGTCATCCACCCACTGGCAGCCGCAATGAGCACACACATAACAATTTACATAAGTTGATGCCCGGCAGTTGATATTTTCCTTCCTTTTTTCCATCTATACTTACTATAGTGTATTTCCTATTTTTGTTGGGCCCTGAAATCCCCGCGTGCTTTGTGTGCAGCTATTTGTCTGCCCAAATATAGAGTTGTTGTTCTTCCTGCTGTTTTACATGAAAAGCATTTTAACTGCAGCAACCAAGCAAGCAAAATAAATCGATGGCAGGAAAAGGTGTCTCCACTTTTGTGTCGCCTGCATCTGCCGCACAACTGCAGATTCTTTCTGGTCTTACAAATATATCTGTGGGTATTTAGTATGGGGATAAGTATATAAGCAATCGTTCCAATTGTTGCTGATGCTCAGCCAGAGCTACGAAAAGCGTAGGAAAATTAAGTAGGAAAACGTTAAACTCTTGCCAGCTCGACGTGTGAATAGCAAATAATTATAAATGGGGCGTGTATATTTTTTTATCTGGTAATACTAGTCCCGTTTAAAAGGGGGCAGCAATTAAGACTAATACAGCCCGTTTGAAAATAAAGAAAATATCGTGCATCGAAATTAAAAGCAAGTGTAAAAAACGTTGAAAATAAAACATATTGTGAATCAAAATAAATTATATTTAATTCCCTAATAATAAACAAACTTTTCTCCGTTCAACTCAAATACAACTTGTCGAAGCAATTATTCCTATGGCAGCTTTATAATATACTTTAGCAATTTTGATAATGCTTCGTAAATACTAAACTATATATACGAATATAAGTATATATGCTATGGCCAGCCGATTTTGATGAATTTTGAAGATTATTGAGACACGGTTTAATATTTGGATTTTCGTTCCGATAGACTGTACAGTACTAGGAGGCCAGAATGACGCACAGTGATCTTGTATACCTAACAATGCCGTTATCAGCGATCAAGCTTTGCTGTTCGAGCCACAGTGGGTTCAGGGGCTAGCCAGCACCGAGATAAGCAACGAACGCAGCAACAGAGACGAGTAATTACTGCTCCTCTGGAAAGAATCCAACGATTCATCGAAAATATGAGAGAAGGTCTATCTGGCCAATCAATAAGTATGACATCAGCAATAGAATTCTAAGCCTAGTATGGTATGGATAATTTGGAATGGCAACCTTATTGTGGATCCGAACTTTAAAATTAAGAAAAGATCATGTTTTAAAATTCGTTTTTAACGTTAAGTATTTTGGGATCTATCTATATAATCTACTATATAGAAGAGAATATGTGATATATCTATAGAATCTACTATATAAAATATAATAGCAGCCGTGTTAGACATTTATTGTAATAATATTTTAATATTTAAATATTATTTTAATATTATTTAATTATTATTTTAATATTATTTAATTATTATTTTAATATTATTTAATTATTATTTTAATATTCTTTCAACATTACCGTTTGTCGAATATTTTTGGAATAGATTTGATTATTATTATTTCTTTAGACATTGTTGATATTGGAAGTATTTTATTGGATTTTTAAGAGGATTAGTAAAGCTTGTATGTACATATGTTTTTGTGATATTTTCGAACAGTCACAATGCTCATCAATGCTCATATTTTGTATTTTTTCAAATATATACAATAGTGGTTCTGAATTATATGTCATTTACTAAGAGATAGTCTATAGAATCTCTTACACTTAGTTGTGAAAACTGAGAAGCGCGAATATAATTAGTTAAAAAAAAAAAAGTTAATAAGGATATGGGTATGAAGCACTGCTTCTTTCTGCTGACCATGAAAACATATGTACCCGCATATAACAAACATGAGAGGTGCAGAGCCCCCTACTTTTTAAAGTGAAACGCAATAAATCAGACATACGAGTATTTCCAATAAGCAAACGCAAAACAATCACAAATGAAATGAAACATTGCCAAAAAAAAATGTAATTATGGCCATGCGACCCGACCCAACGGAAAGCGACATACATGTACTGTTATATACGAATTGTATCCATACATATGTATGTATGTACTATTTGTAGCCACAAATCATGTGAAGCACTTCAAATTGAATTTACCAGACAAGTATGTGAAAAATCAGGCAAGGCAAGTACCCACAACTGTTTATTATTTTTATTATCTTATTATGATTATAACTGTAGTTTTTTATTGTTCATTTTGAAATAAAGAACCTTTTATTTCTTTACAAAAATACTTTAATTATTATAATGTTTAATGATAGAAAAAGAAAAACTTTCACTAGAAAGTACAGATTGTCTGAGCTCATTTTGTAAGTTGACAAATGTTTTCTGCCATAAATATATATAAATAAATAAAATGAAGATGCAGTAACAATGCCTTCTAATAAATTCCATGTATTTCAACAAACATTGTTAATTAATTTTGTGTAGCCCCCAATTAAAACGCTTAATTTTTTGTCACCTTTGACAAGAGAGCTGATATTTATACCCGTAGGGTAAAAAGGGTATATTAGTTTGTACAAGGTATGTAACAGTCAGAAGGAAGCATGACGAGAGAAATCGTCTTAAACATGTCCGTCCGTCTGTTCGTCCGTCCGTCTGTCAGGATGAACGCAAGGATCTCAGATACTATAAAAGCTAGAATAACCAAAGTTGGTATCCAGAAAATTGTCTGGGTACAAGGTATTACACTGTCGGGCTTGCTCGACTGTAGCGTTCTCTCGTGTTATATTATGAAATGATGATGATTAATCGAAATGAATAGCATAGCTATAAGTATGGCAATTAATCGCGTATATTGCTAACTGATAATAAGCGGTATGTACAGACCGAAGCTACCCGAACAGTTTCAGTTTTCTGAATACAGCGCAGCATGAAAGTCGTGCCTCTCTAATAACCAGTGAAAGCTGAAAGCTCGGCAAAATTACGTATACGTAACAAAAATACAGTGAAAAGAACGGCAAAATCGAAAGTGTCAATTTAGCATAAGTACCAAAGGTTAATGAAAATATTTCGGTTGAAATGTGAATATAACTAATTCCAAATTCAAAGTTTTCGATAAAAGTTTCTGTTGGAGCCGTTTCAACAGAACGAGAGATATACGCATAAAACCGTCGGTTGCTCCAGAGAGCACCACAATCCAATAAAGGTCCAGCTTTGTCGGAGTAGATAAGGTTATGTAGGTTTTATTTCCTGATAAAACATAAAAGTATGTAGGTTTTTTCCCTTAAAATTCACAACGAACCTACGCTTCTTGTCGGTCTCAACAATCGACTGATCCAAGAAGCGATACTTCCATATCTTGTTTATTGGTGTTCCAAATCGGTGTTAGTAAACGCGAATCTAGCAGTTATAGCAATTTGTTAAACATTCGTTATTTTTAAATTAGAAAAATCTTCTTGTGAAGGTGATACAACGTGAACTATTTACTGCCTATAATAGAAACAAACATGTTAATAAACCAATTTTTTGTGAATGAAATGAAAAAATATAAAATGTAAAACTCACTCAACTAGACGCGATAAACTTTTTGAACTGATTTAAAGATTATCGAGCTATCAACTAATGCGCCCCAATTCTAAAGTAAATACTAACTTTGTGGGAAATCTTTTTCTTTCAGTCAACATGTCACTTCGCTCTCCGCTCAGTGTTTTGTGTGTGCTGTTCCTTTTTACAACTCTCATGGAGGTTGAAGGACACGACAGTATCGACGAAATAATGAAAGAAATTAGTGAGACCAATCCAAATCCAAATCCAAGGCAGGAAATGGAAGATGAGATTGTGAATCTTTTTAGAACGGAGTTGAAGAAAGTTATGGACAAATATTACAAGAGCTGTGATAACAGCTTGAACACATCTGACGATAATGAACAACCGAGCTCAGATGAGGAACCCATGTTGTGCGGATATCAAAAAGAGTGTGTGGATAGATGGCTCTGTAGAAATGCTACCTTTGATGAATCGGAGGAAGACTGCTCACAAATACAAGCCTGTTGTCACATTGATGATAAGGTAAGGAGCGTAAACATTTGCATAAACTCATTTAAATTTTCAAATTTCTACTTCATACGCAGTTGGACAAAACGTTGCAGCCGTATTCCTGCGGTCATCGCAATCCTAATGGTGTTGGATTCGAAATTCCAAATGATGTTGCAGACGAAGCTAACTTCGGCGAATTTCCCTGGATGGTAGCTATTATGCGAGAAGAAAAGCATATGGGGGATGGTGCTTTGCTTTCAGCCAATCTTGTACTTTCGAGCATTGAAGTCATGCACGACATTCTAGAAGCACAATTAATAGCTGTGGCTGGCGAATGGAATTTGAATAATACAAATGAGACTTTTCCAATTCAGAGCCGAATAATCGACAAGATAGTTCCCCATTTCGACCGTAACGTTACTGACATGGCTCTAATGTACCTCCACTGGCCATTTATTATGAGTCCACATATCAGACCTATATGCTTGCCAAATGCTGATGAACTTTTCGATATAACTGGCTGTTTTATGACAGGTTGGGAAAGTAATAGCAAGTCCAGTGTATTAAAGAAAATAAGGTTACCTATTAACTGGAACATTTGCAATGAAGGAAATGAACTCAAATCATTATTGTGCAATCCTGAGCCTGAAACGTTTTGGGACCTTGACTCTCACTTTGCCGGTTGGCCCATAGTCTGTCCCCTGGGGAGAGATTCAAAATATCGTTATACCCTAGCTGGACTCGTTTCCTGGGATGGCCACAATGTATTACATAACCATATTTCAAAACTAAGCGTTTTGATTCAAGGCGTTCAAGAGAACAATACAATCACAACATTATTTTACGCTTTAGATGCAGGCTCAAGCAAATATGTAGCAACTAATCAAATAATTGATGATTATATTGTGTTTGAACTATCTAATCTTTAAGTTGGAAACTTCAATCAAAAATAAAAAATTCAACTGTAGACATATTAATTAATTAATTATTTTGAAGCGATAACATATAGCTATTTTTTCAGCGATTGAATTAACTTAATGCTGGTTTTTACTTTAATAGAATTTAAAATTAGTTTTATTTTGTTACTTATGAAACAACAATAAATGTATTATATTATATGCATTATGTATTATGGCGACTATTTTCAACGTTTATATTAAAACATTTATATATGTTTGTCGCTGCAAATTATCTTATTTTATCTGTTAGATCAGCAATGTCCATTTATAAACGTACTGCTTCCGCAACTCATGGTCGCTTATCGCTTTGCATAACATTTCAAAAGCAACCTCCGCGCCTGCCCCCTCTATTGTTATTATTTTTCTTAATGCATATATTAATCTAGCGCTTATTTCGTCTGACTGAAGTCAAAGCAGATGGAAGGTAAGAAAAGAAAAAGAAGCGGCATAGAGTTCCTTTGGAAAAAAATCCATTTATTGTGAAAAAATTCAATTTATATTCGATTACGCGTCGATGTCTAAGTACAAGTATGCTATATACTTGTAGAGAGAGCCGGAGTCGGGTACTTGGCTTCGAGCAGATTTTTCATTGAAAGTGCGCTGTCATGCGTTAAAATTGCAATTTTTTCTTAGCAAAAGGCTGAGAATTGAGTTTGAGCTTAAAGCAAAAAATTGTGCATCGAAAACAAATTTCAAATGTTTTCATAAAAGAGCAGCCAAATGCTTTAGCTTCTAAAACTAAAAAAAACAATATTAATTGTACAGTTTTGAGGCCAGCTCTTGGACGGCCTCGCCAACTAAGCAACTAACAAACAAACATAACAATCATGGCCAATTGTAGTAGTAGTTAAATATTCATGACCATTCAGTTCGTTGTGGGCCTCCCCCCTGGAAACTGCTAAAGAGATGTGGATGTGCGCGGCATGACAACTCTATGGAAGGAAAGCGGGCGGCTTTATGCGGGTTCGGGTATGCATGGGTATTGGAAAACGATTTGAAAGAATGGCGGGCGCGCTAGTCGGGATGGGGGCCAGGCCAAAGAAAATAAAACCATCACATAGAAAGGAACAACACAACACTTGCGAATTCCATTGCAAATGAAACGAAAAACGCTTTATTTTGATTTTCTGCACGCGTTTTCAGCATAGAGATACACTGCGAGAAAGGGAGGGAGAGGGTGTGGCCGCCGGTACTTCAAAGCGAAAAATGTTTGGTGTTTTTCTGTTTTCATTTGCCAATTGCCTGCTTTTGTTTTTTACGCGGGATCTTCGAGAGCACGGGGAGAGCAAATGGAGGCAATGGCGATGGGCGCCACATGTTGACAGGCACGTGGCAGGCTCTGTCATTACGCTGGCGTCGAATGCAATGCCGATGATGGTGTTGGTGGTGCTGGTGGTGGTGGTGGTGGTGGTGCTGATGGCGGTGGCAGCATTTGCAAAACAATTGCCCAAGTGGTGGCATTTTGTATTACTTTTCATTCTGGGTCTGCTCCTGCCTGGCTTTAAAATTTAATTAAGTGGTTTGCGGTTCGTCGGAAAGGGGGCTATGGGCCTACTTAAAGCCTTTTAACACTTTAATAAAAAGGTTAAAATATATCTGGGCTACACCAAATAGTCTACAAATATTTATGATTCACACACCATAAAGTACTTTGGCTAAGTAATTGATAAATAATTGTAATTCTTTGTAATTTGTCCTCTTTACTTTGTTTTATATTTTTTATATTATTGGAAATGTTTTAGTTTTTATAATATTTTCTTTATCATTTTAAATTAAATTTAAACCGTTTCCGCACATTTGATAGAATTAAGTGAACTGAATTAAGAACAAGTGTGTTTTAGTTGTTAATAATATTATTATTAAAATTATAGTAGTACTTAAAGCCTTTTAACACTTTAATAAAAAGGTTACAAATATTTATGATTAACACGGCAGTCGATTATTTTTATTCATAACTATAAATAATTGTAATTCTTTGTAATTTGTCTTCTTTATTTTCTTTTCAATTTTTATAAAATTTGGAATGTTTTCTTTATCTGTAATATTTTAATAAGTTCAATTCTTATCGTTGCATCAATCAATGTTTTGATTCGAAAGCATTCCGCACTTTTCATAGAATTAATATACTTATTCTTTTTTGCAATTGCTGCTCTCCTATATTCCTATCTGTATTATAAGGACAATTATTAAATAAATTCATGTGCTTTGAATAGTGGCATCTTACAAAAATACAAGATTAAATGGGGCTTCGAAAATGAAATTAAAAAGTTATTTGAAAGACTCCAGCTAAAGGTGCAGTCTTTTAAAATTATGTTTTAGTTAAATATTTAAATATTTTAGTTATGTATTTAAAATTATATTTCAATTATTATTCCAAGTTTTGAGCATGTTTCAAGCGTTACTAATATTATTATTAAATTAATAGTAGGTTCCGACATTGTGAATGGTGAACAAAAAAATTATGAAAAAAAGTATTAAATCGGAACTTGATTGACTTGAAATATTATGTGATTCTGTCATCATCAAAGCATCATCAAGCAAAAACACGTGCCTTTTATAATGCGTTGCAATGCCACATTAAACGGCTGTTAATTTCCATTATAAAGTGCCACCAACAACAACAACAAGAACAACAATAGAAATTGGAGCAGCACAAGTGGATTTCAAATGTAAGCGTATCAATATGCAAAAGAGGTTTAAGGCAAGGCTTGACGAGCGCCCCTCCCCAACCCCCCACAACCCACTGTCTGTCTGCATGGAGCAAATGCGAGGACTCGCCAAGCGGGGAGTGGAGTGGGTGTGGGTGTGGGGGTGGTAGTGGGAGAGGGAAAGGGAGAGAGCGCATCAAACCCCACACAAGTGGCTAAACGTGACGAGCATACATTAAGGTGTCTTCGCCTAGTCTTCAGCAGGCATGCCAAGCGGGTCCTCTAGGCATGTACAGGACGCATGTTTGGCCACAATAAATGCAAAAAATATGCATAAAGTGCAAAATAGCAGAGCGACGAAGAGAGAGTGGCAATAAAACGGCGGAGGAACGAGCACGAAAAAGTGCGAACGTTCGCAAAACCGACACAAATGAAAACGGGAAAAATATTCAATCAGACAAGCGTTGAAGAGCTGGATGGAGTGTGCCAAAAAAAAGAAGAAGAGGAAGTGCAAATGTCTATATCGTAGTGTATGTACAGACGAAGAGCCGTGCTCACAGGACTTCAGGTACATTTAATAACAGAGCAGGACGAAGCAACGCAACTGTTTGGAAAAGTTTAAATTTTAAAGAATAGATTCAAAAAAAAAAAAAAGGGCTCAGACAAACTACACAGCAGGAAAATGTGCGAGTCTAGAACCAGCGCTTGTTTCTAAAAGGTGGAAGTCTTGCAAGAAGCCCAGATGCTTGTGCATTCTAATAATTGACGTAAGTAAGGCTTATTTTCAAGCTTCATCGCAACCACTGCAGAAGAAAACTGGCCAAGCTGAATGGGCAGAACGCTGTCAATTCTTGGCTACCCCTGAAATGCAAGAGGCAGTCTACCCAAGCTTTATGGATCCTACATGTGGAACTTCGGTAATCAGATTTCGAAAATGGCTGTTGCCTTGCTCCGCAGAGTGGGTTCAGATGCGCCATAATATAATCTTACGAACCATCACTGGATGCGACTAAACGCGCAATCACAACAGGCTGATTTGTTCCCTCAAGTTATTTTGTCCAGTTACGAGTATACTTCGTTGTTTATTTTAAAATTAATGTTGAAAGACATTCCAGGCAAGTCTCTTTTGCAAAAGAAGATGCATCAACAGACAGACGTATAGAGCAGCAACTATAAAACAATAGAAGTGATATCATATCTTAGATTATGTCTAATTTGTTTTATATTTTTTATTATTCAAAGGCTAGCAGAGGAGGCCAGCAATTAAAATTGTTTGCCGGCAGACTGTTGTGCCACTTGCCAGAACTTGATTCAGAAGTTTCCGCAACAACAGCCTGGTAACGCGGTAGGTCAACTGATTTGAATTCTATTTTTCATTTTTATTGGGTTGCTAAATCTGTTATCAGCATTTCTACCTAATTGTATCGTCATTGCTTGAGTTCATCTACCTCTTTGTGTTTTTAAAATGTATTTGAATTCGCAAAAACGAGTCTGTCTTAAATTTTGCGTTAAAAACTAGTGCGAAAAAATTAGAAAATTTTAAAAACTGTTTTAGCAAAGATACTCTAATGACTCAGAAGAGATCGTGATTCCATCGAGGACTGATAAAAACATCAATAAATGAAATGAATGAAAAATTGTTGAATAACCACGAATCAGCCATCAGAGAGCTGATAGAGCAGAGTATTTGGAATTTTTTGAATACATACTTGTATATCAATAAATGAATCGAGGACTGGTAAAAACATCAATAAATGAAATGAATATCAATAAATGAAATGAATATCAATAAATGAAATTAATGGAAAATTGTTGAATAAAGACGAATCAGCCATCAGAGAGCTGGCAGGTGAGAATATTTGGAGCTTTCTGAATATATTTTGATAACATACTCTTACACACATACATACTATGTATATGTACACATACTATAAAAACAGGCTTAAGAAAACGGACGCAAGTGATAGTCACAGAGAGAATGAATTCTACAATGGCTTTAACTACAGTTGCTTGCAAGGAAAATCAGCACCTTGAACCACTCTTATTTTCCTGTTGTTTTTAATTGCTTAATTATGGATGCATTTTAGTCACTATGTTGAAATTGTAACGTCCACAGTTAGCGTAAGTACGTGTTCAAGTGCTTGTCTAGACGTTTGCCTCAATGGCTGTTATAACAAAAGTTTTGCATGACAATCGCCAAAAAGGCAAACCAACTTGGCTACGCAAATTAAGAGCGTTGCTTAAAACCAGGCAAACGGATATAGAAAAAATTAAACAACGTGGTAAGCAAGTTCATTGAATTGCTCCTTCCACAGAGATGCTCGGAGAACTGACCAGCCCCAACAGCCAATGGAAACGAAATCCAAATTGTGGAGAATTGTTTTGGTCGAGGGTCATAAAAATGCACATTAAAGGAAAACAGGCGCAAAGGAAACAAGGCAACAAGGAAACTCGAACAATTTTCCCCAGACAACACGCAAGCCAATTAAAGTGTGCATGTGGAAAAGTTTTGGCGCCCAAATGGCGGCGCCTCAATGTCAGGTCATTAAAATTTAGTGGGCGCTTTTTGCATAACACGCACAACAAATGCAACGGCAAGCAGACGTTTTGTAGCTGCCAAGGCCCACGGCCCATGCCCCACAACCCACGACCCACAACCCACGACCCACATGCCACCAGCTCTGCGCCCATTTTGAAGCTCATCATTGAAATTACACAGCAGTGAGAAAAAGTAAAATGTAAGAAAGTGCTTGCCAAACTTTTCAGGATTGGAAAGGATGTGCAGGAGAGCACAACTTTTTGGCGGTAAATCAAATTTTTGCTTGTTAACTCGTTCGTTTAAATTAAGTAGAACATTAAGCGTGGTCGAGACGTTGCTGTCCAAAACCAAGCCGCTAACCAAATGGCAAGCGCTAAAATTTTATGTAATTTAAAGCATTTCCTTCTAGCCGCAGCAAAAGCGGCCAAGAGGAAATGCCAAAGTGACGGCAGCGACGCGACTCGACGCGCCGTAGCCGGCGACGCTGCTGACAGCTAATGAAAATACTTGCAGGCATGCTGGCGGGAAAGTTGTGCGAAAACTTGCACGATTGGTGAAGGCAAGGAGTCGTAATTAGCGTAGTGCATATTTTACATACCCACATTCCCTTATATACAAGTATATATATATAGATGAAAAGTAGAAGAATGTGAATCTGAAGAAGGCAACAGTCTGAAGAATTGATGGTGTGATATTACATTGTTTGATGTGATTTATAATTTATGATATATGTAGAAATAAGATATTATGTAAGATTATGCAGTTATAATACGTCCGGCCCTGCTTTTAAGATCGAGAATCGATTGTTAAAGAAGTATAGAAAAATAAGAGTTGTGTGAAGATAAAAAGAAGAATTAATGCTTGGATTTTTGTCGAATTTAAAATATTGAATATATTGAATATATTTAAAATATTGAAACTGAAGAAAGCATCAAACAGTCCGAAGAATTGATGGTGTGATATTATATTATCGGATATGATTTATAATTTATAATATATGTAGGAATAAGATATTATGTGAGATTATGCAGCTCTAATACGTCCGGCCCTAGTTTGAAGATCAAGTATCGATTGTTAAAGAAAGAAAGAGTTGTGTGAAGATAAAAAGAAGAATTATCACTAGGATTTTCAGTCGAATTTAAACTATTGAATAAACGCCTATGAATATTATTTGTATCTTCAAATAAGTGTTTTCATTAAAGAGCACTGAGATAAAATAAAAGGGAGGCACTCATTCAACCTGCAGATATATAATATAATAGCAGGTACAATTATATGTATATCTATTCCCTATATGCGATTTCTCTATCGGCATTCCAGATAGATTTTTAAATTTTTTTTAGAGAACAAACAAATAGGGCATATATAGTATAATAAGTACTATTATTATGTATGTATGATAGTAACATTATTATATACAATCTATGCTTCAATGAAATTTTCAAAAAACATACTACGCAGTAAATAAACCAAATTTGTTGTTAATCGGATAAAAATTTTAGATCTTTCAAACAATTTTTTTCGCCAACTCTATGAAAAGATAAATGAGCTTAAATTTTAGCTTCCTCGTACAGTTTGTATATCATCTATATAGATATATACGATATATAATATGTGATGTATGATATATATGATTTATAGTATGTGAAATATGTTAGCATATCAAATAATATGATGATCATACAAATACAGATAAATATGTATTTACAAGAATATTACGTTATAATGTCAGCTTAACAGACAACAAAACCTCAAATACTTGTACAAATGTGGCATAATGTCTATTAACGCTTCCGACAATTTTATTTGCAATGATTTCATCTGATAATATTATTATTATTTTGGTTTAATTAACGGTCTTTAATGCCAAGAATTATCAGTCGCTTTATATTTATTTTAAAGAACATGAGCACAATGTGACATCAGGTCAAGAGCCCATTTAAATTATTAGTTTGGAAATACAGCACGAGTCACTCTAATCACAACACGTTGTTGTTGTCATTGTTATCAACGCAGTTGCAAACAATGTGTTCTCCCAACGGCAACTACAATGACAGCAGCAACAACAACAGCTCCGGGTTGGGTCTCATGTGGGCATATGTTAAACATTTTGACACTTTTGCGCACGGTTGAACCACCAGCACCGCTGAACTCTGACAATCTAATGAAACTTGATGAGGGTTCCCTTCTGGTTAGACACAGCTACGATTACAACAAAAGCGACAGCCGTCGAGCAGTCGAACAGCCGAGAACAACACCAGAGCGACACGTGGGCGTTTGCAATTTATTTAAATTTAAAAAAGCCTTCGTGCAAAATTTGTAACAATTTGTTGTTGTTCTTTTTGTTTTTGTTCAGACTGCTTCAGTTTGATAATCAGCGTGTTGGCCAAAAAATCAACGAGCGCCATTTTAGTTAAATTTCTAACCAAAAAGCCCAAACCAAACCACGTTCGCGGTTTTTCTCGAAGCTTTGCTGTGGCGTCACGTGCGGACGCGGTCACAACGACCGTCCATATTGAAAGTTAATTAAGTGCAGGAAGGCTAGGAAGTAGCGGCAGCTGCCACTACTCTGCCAGCAGTTGCTGACAAATGCCAACCACTTTTAGCCCGTTGGTTGCTAACGGATTTCGCTTTGAGTGGTGATAGGCTAAAAAAAATAGGCTAACTAAATATCTCTGTTGCTACATTTGGCATTCAAAATAGAACTACGAAATCGATTTGTTTATTTTTCAGTAACTATCGATATCCTGCTCGGAAAGTCACCTAAGAATAATAATAATAAAGAGCTAAGAAAAACTTAAAAATATATGTAAATAAATGAAATTAGTATATTTGCTAAGAAAAGACATCTAGTTTAGAAATGCAAACCGTAGAGATTTTGGGAGAAGAAAAAGAAGGTCACACGAAACAAGGCTAGGAGCCACGTTAGACTGGAAGCGCGATCTCTTTGCCTTTGAATAGTGAAACGAAGTGGACGTGTTTTTACCAGTGATCAGCAAAAAACCACCTTGAATGTGTTAAATAAAACTTATCTAAGTGACAACAATAAAATCCAAGCGCGTGTGCAACATCATAGTTTAAATTTAAAGTGAAAAATATTATAATAAAAGCCACATTAGCAATATTTGTAATTCTGTCTAACTTAACACATAGGACTATCTTATGTTATCTCTATTATTTAGGCAGAGATGGTCGATTCTTATTATTGCTACGCGACCGTCTAAAAATTGAATTCATTTGAAAAAATTACGTCTTTCGGTGAAACTGAATTTTGCGATATATTACACATATAACTGATGATATTCGAAATCAAAGGCCAAGTGTTTTACAAGATTGGTTCACTAATGAGGAGCCAAACTTTCTTCAAATTTATTTCATGGGCATTTGTGAACAACGTGCTCGACAGCTCGATGCCTGCAAACATTTTCTTAGATAGACCAGAATAGAGAACAATTGTAGGAATCGTTGGAAGTTTTTTTTTTTTTCGAAAAACAAAGAAGAAAGCTTAAAAGCATTACGATTCAGTGGCACAGCAACAGAAGCCGGATATGCTATTATATTTACTATATACAAGTATATATATAGTAAATATATATAAAAATATATAAATATATATAAATGTGTGTATATAGCACTTGTTATAGACTTCAATTTGACTTCAACATTTTTTTTGACCTTTAAATCAGTCATAGAACCAATTCGATAACATGCACATCGTATCGAATTTGAAATGCCATGTCTTACATAATGGGAAATAATGGTATATATATAGCTATTGCACGATTTTTCAGTTGCAGTGATTCAGAAAAAGCTTACAAATGCTTGCAATCCGTTTGAGTTTATTTTTTATTTTGGATGCAATAGGCATCGTACTAACAAATAACCATGTTGAATTTACAAATCGGTTTATGTACCATTTGCATAAAAACAGAAGCCTCGATAACATTTGCACATCGCCCGAATGGGTTCGGCAAGTATTAGCAACGGTCTATTTAGGCACAAAAGGCACCACAAGGGAGAACCTCGAGGAAGGACTGATGTTGCGGACTGTCAGCCCAATGGTGGCAGTTAAGGAATTTCAAGACTTCCATAACAAACTAACAGAAGGTCATGTTATATTCAGTACTGGAAGTTTCGTGTTTGGTACTGAAGGCAAATCTATTATAAACGGGGAGTATCTAAAAAAGACTGAAAATGTCTTTAAAACAGTTAACAGAAAGGCAATATCTTTAGACGAAAAATGTTTGTGCAGCTTAAAATATTTTATATGGCCAAAAGTTAATCACTTCATTCATACACCAAGAGTTGGTCCAAACATTGAGGACACGAAGGTTGGAGTTGTCAACACCATTTACTTTCGTGGTTATTGGAAATATCCATTTGAGACAATACAATATAATGATCAGCTCGAGCGTAATTCAGTGCTAAGGTATATGAGTGCGACTGGAAAAATGGCTTATGAATATAATGCCAAGTTGAGGGCCTTAATGGTGAGCATACCCTTTAAGGAGTCGGATTATTCGATGCTTATTATAATACAAGCTGCGACTCCAAAAATTGAAGAAATCGAGGTACAATTAAAGGACATTGATTTGCTAAGGGTAGCGCGTGATAAGAAAAAATTATTTGAGTTAATGATGCCAAACATGAAATTTAATTTTGAAATGGACTTAAATGATTTTATATACAAGGAAATGAACATACAAGGAATTTTCGAAAATTGGAGAGATTTCAGTAGTTTATCTAACAAAAAACTTCTCGTTCAGAGTATTACCCACAAAACCAGAATAGTGGTGAACCCAAGAAAAATGGAAGTGGCATCAGTAAATGGTAATTTCTTTAATAATTTTTTGCCATTTTTATTACTAACAAATTTCATTTTAGTTGTTCAATTTGACGAGACCCCAAAAGGAGCATACAGAAATTGTACGTTTTTTTAGCCTTTTACATTTAGTATTGCGTAAAGTTATTTTATTTATTTTGTTTTTCAGCTGAATACGAGCAACGTTCAAGAATCAGGGATGCAGAAAAGGTCAAGCTAAACAGGCCATTTCATTTTGCTGTCAGAAACAGGGAGAAAATATTTTTCGTGGGAACAATTAAGAACTTCAATAATATTATCTAATGTAGTTCCATAAATATATACATATGCAAATAAAATATACATATGTACACAAATATACATAATAAATTAAGAACTTCAACAATATTATCTAATGTAGTTGCATAATATATATGCATATACAAATAAAATATACATATGTACACAAAAATACATAATAAATAATAATAACTTCCTTTTATTAAAATGCCAAGCAATTCGGTAGTTACGGAAAATCACTAATAACGCCAAACTATACAAATGAGACATAAACTCCATACAAAATTTCGGGTTACACTCCTAGAGTTCAACAAGCAAAAAGGTTTTCTGTCAAAAGTCCGCTGTTTTAAAGGTCCAAAAATGTTCCAAAAGTAACAAAAAGCTACTCCAAGTGTTGAATATTTATTAACAGATTAAGCTTATTAAGAAGGCAAATGTTTTCTAAACGTACAAAATGTTAAAGCAGCTGAGTATAACAATTAAGATGGAAGCTTGGCATTTAATCTAATTATAAATAACTATATAAAAAATTATACATAAAATGTTTGTGAAAAGTATGTAACAGTATTAAACATCTCCGATCCCAATGAGCATATATGTTCTTAATCAGTATATTTAAAAGTTCCAAAAATATATTTATATTTATGTCAACAAACATGGACAGTCGACATATGTAGAAAAACACTATAAAAATACTGATCAAATTACAATAATATCTAGTGAAAATGACGAGAGATATCTAGATATGTACGTCTAACTGTCCGTTCGACTGTCTGTCTGTCCGTCTTTCTGTCTGTCGAAAACTATAAAAGCTAGAATAACCGAATTTGATATCCAGATTCTTCTAGTTCTGAGAATGGACACGTTTATTTTTTAGAATTTGAAATTCTTACGTCAGAAATATCTTTTGCGCAATAGAACCAAACTTTTGTTTGAGCTCCAAGGTCGGTAAACACATAGGAAGTGGAACTAGAATTAGGTACAGTATGTTAAGCTTGAGATATATATATTAGATAGGACACGCATGGTTTGTTTGGGCGATTATTTATGGCTTTTGTTTTTGCTTATATAAGCATAAAAATCACAATTTACAGACTCGTCTATAAAAGCAGCCTGTTTGAATGCAGCTCGATAGTAGGAGCTCTTCCTCAAAGACCACCTGGCACAATATGTTGTTCACATGTGCTCTGGTATTTGTGTTACCCGGCTATATTTTTGCGCAAAACCTGCCATTGTTGGATTCCAATTTAAATTCGGATGGATCGATCGCAGGACGATCGCAAAGTCAGGTCGATGAAGTCGATAGTACGATTGTATTTGGTCCAGATATCTCATTAAGGACTGCTAAATACCGCATATGGAAGAAACCTGAGGATTTTTGGGAGGCTTACTACAATGAGGAAGGAAAGGAACCCTCAGTAGCATGTGATGAAGGAAAACCTATTCATTGCTCTAGAAGGAAGGCTTTTGTGGACGACATGCGTGTAAGTCAAAGCCACTATCAACATGGAAAATGGCCGAATACAACGATATATTACGAATTTAATAATGGTAAGTGAACAGCAATCTAAGAATATTGGCAGTAAGTCGATTAACCCGTCCTTTTTAGTGCCCGATGACAAAAAGGAGATTCTTGAAAATACCATTGAAAAGATTAATCAAAACACGTGCTTACAGATAGTTGAATTACCTGAATCTCCTCCTTCAATTGATGGTTGGATAGAATTTCGACAAGGGAGATGGTGTTCATCGAGAGTTGGGTATAAAAAAGGGGTAAACAGTATTACTGTTAAAGGATGTCGACCCGGCATGCTTATATATCACGCTTTGAATTTTGATCATATCCACAATGCTGAAAATCGCCAAGAATATATAAATGTAAATTTAAACAATTTAAAAAACCCTCACAACGAGCAAAATTACGTAAAACAGAATGCAAGTAACTTTGATATAAGATTTGACTACGCAAGTCCTTTACATTTTCGCAATTGCCTATTCGCAAAGGACGATCCTGTAATAACATTTAAATCCTGCCCGTCTATGAATATAGATGAAGATAGAGACGTTTCAGAATGGGACTATTTTAAGATTAATAGACTATATTGTCCAAAGTGGTACTATAATAATAAAATATAAAATTAAATCTATTTATTAAAGCCACATGGTCCATGTTCATGGATATAAATAAATGTGAATAACTTGTATCTGAAGGGTACACTAAAAATAAAAGTACACAAGCACATTTTTATATTGGCATGTAGATACTAAATGCTGTATTATAACCATCGATTTTTCATCTCAGTAAAATAAATTCACTTGTTTATTTATTTATATTTTTGTATTGCTTTACGTAAAATATGTTATTCTCTATATTAATTTTGCTGTTCTTATTACAATAACTTTCAAAAATGCAATCAACCTCAAAAAAATAATGATGTTATTAAAAACTAGTAATATGAAAGTAAAGATTATTATAATTGTTTCTTTAATATATGCTGTACACAAAGGGTGAAAGGGTATACGGTTTTGTGCGAGTGAACATGTAACGTAGACGTTGTCTAATCCTGCTGATCAAGAATATATATACATAGTTTTTTATCATGCCTCCTTCTGCCTGTAAAATACTCTTGTACGCTACAGAATAAAGAAGCTCCATAAATCAAACTTGACACAAGCACTCTATGCGAGTATACTATTATCTACCTTTGTCGGTCAGTTCTAAGAAAAGCATCCGAATCTTAAAGCTATTCATATAAAATATATGAAATAGGATTATTTTGATTATCAGCTTTTATTTTCTATTAATTTTTTTTCTCAATCACATAACTCATTGTGTGTGTGATTATGTCAAACAACAATGCAGACATATTTATCCAACATAAAATAAAAATTATATATAACGACTTTGCGTTCCTTCTCCTCCTCCTTCGAGACAGAAGCTGCCTTATCATGCAGAGCCGACAACAATTTTAAATAGCTTCCTCTGATGCTAGCAACTAAGTATGTAGATGCCACGCTGACGTTGTTCAGCTGCTTAGCAAAGCCTCTCCCCGCCCATAAAAGTGGGTCTCACGCCTCACGCCCCACGCCCCACGCCCCACACTCTGACAGCTGCACGTTATCGTTTTTAAATTGAAAATTTACGTAATCACATTGTAAGTGAAAATCGCTTTGCCAAATTAAATGAAATCGATTTTTGCAATCCACACAGTTGGCTTTAAATACATGTGAACAGACAAATATTGTTGCGTGTGAGTGTGTGTGTGTGTGTGTGTGTGTGTGTGTGTGTGTGCGTGTTGGTATGTTTGTCTAGTTTATGGTTTTCATATCCGTTTTGGCTTTAAGGCGACGAGGCTGCATTCAAAGCCCATCAGCGCCAATGCGCTCACAAATCGTTAGTCAAATACGCAGCGTAAAACTTTTTACTCTCCTGCAGCAGGAAAAAATCTCACCAAAGTCGTCTTCCAACTGACTCTTGGTGCGACTCTGCTGCTCCTCTGGCCCCCTCTTTTAGTCCTTTTTCTGTTTGCTCCGCAGCAATAAAAATGATGAAGTACTCTGAGCGGTAAGTGCGTCTGCTTAGAAGTACGGTGGAACTTGGAAATATATGCAACTATTTCTCTGTAGTTCCAAGATGGATACAAAAACTCAATTAGTTCCATTTCCGTAATTATGGAGGCAAGGAGAACTCTTTCCAGAATTATTTTAGACCAAATAATAAAGGTAAGGTTTTTAGCTAGCGTGTACGTTAACCAAGTTTTTTATTTTTATTTATTTAGAAACCTGATTCTGCCTCCAATGTAGTAGTCCAGTATTTTAAAAACGTAGAATAATCGTGCCAATAAAATAACTTAATTGAACCCTTGTTCACAGATACGTTTTATAGGAGTACTTAAAAACTTGTGACTTTATATTGTAGAATTGATCACATTTATTCAATTCGATATATGGACATTTCCTGGTGGTGGAAGTTTGATTTCAGCTGTAATTCTGATTCCAAAGTAAAGGCAAAATAAAATCGATTCGAACGTGAATGGAAATCGTTTGACACTGTTTTAAACTGTTTTGGAATAAAGTTTCTTCAGATAACATTTCGCCTTAACGAAAATATTTGCCAATAATTTATTGTTTTTCTTTTCTTTTTTTTTGAAAAGAATAAAATACGCCACATATTTCATTTGGACAATCCTGCATATATTCTTATTAAAAACAAATAAATGTAACATTAACTATGTGCGATTTATCCATTCTATATATACTAATCGAAGAAAAGAATCTGGTAGAAAACAAAATATGCAATTCGGGGTCTTCTTTTAATACGACTGTTCGCCCTTTCGAACTATTTTCCTTATCTTTAGCAGTTTTATACTATAAACATAGTCGAAATATGGCAAAATATACAACATTTTACGCTTATGATTGCGAACGTGACCAACTTCAAAAAGTTCTAAAAACAAGAATCAATTTTGTTGGCACATGTTGTTTCCTTTTTTTATTGTTCACATAAAACTCTGGGTAGAGAGAAATTTTGCAGCCCTTGCTGAGGTTATCAACGATTTTATTTTTTATTACACTTTCTTAATAACTTCAATTTGTTCGGTCATGATTAGAACGAGTAGTATGTATATTTGTTTGTCCTCCTTACTTTATATACCTTTATTTACGCCAGCTAGTACAATTTAAGACTTGTTATTCCAATTTTTAATACCTGTCCAATTCAATTGTGCTTGAAAAATGCTTGAGGAGACCAATTTGGGAATTGAGGAATTGAAAGAGAATTTAGGAGCGATTAAAGCTTGTAGAGGAATTTTCCTTTTTTTATATTTTAGTCAACACTGTAAATGTGAAGTAACAAAAAATTAGAGTTCTACTCAGAACTGCAATAACTAAAAACAATTAAATTTAGTTATTAACAATCAATAATTATAGATTTTTTTAATAAATGCTTTGAGCGTGCTTTGCATGTCATTTTCCGACTAAAATATGCATATGCAATGATTTATTTATTGATTGATTTATTTTTTAATATATTTATTTATTGGTTTATTTGAAAGTTCATTGTTCCTAGCCGTAATAATTCAATAATTATAATTCACCAATAATTCGGTTCGATTTGGCATTCTCATAATACCTTAACTATTAAGGAGTGGTTCGTCTTAACAAAGCCTGACTGTGCAAAGAGCATAATTCAAAGTAGAGCTGGCATTGCTAGCATGCCGCGGCTTTCCTTGCTGCAGCTCTGTCTTTATGCCCATAAGGAGACGAAATGCAATCGCATAATTTTACTTCAAACTTCTTGCTCGCTGCCGTGGCAAGTACTCGTAGCATGTAATGCGCTTCTTTTTGCTGCCAATCCGCCAGCCCATTAAGTCGAACATTTGCCGTAATTTTAGCCTATGAGTATTCCGATACACAGCTGAGTATAGCGCTCCATCATGCTTTTTATTTGCAGGCAACAGCTCAGACAACTTTTGACATGTAATTTGCGCTACGAGTCGAGGCCCCAAATGCATTGGCAAAATAGACGTGGCAAGTTTGTTGGTTTTTGTTTGTATTGTTGTTTTTGTTGCTGTTGCTGCGGCGTCTGCATAAATTGCCATTTAGAGCCATGTACAGCAATAAGTTTTCGCCCAGCAGTGAGCAATGATGAAAATGTTGGTGATAATGATGTGAAGCATGGTCGTGATGATGATGATGATGATGCTTTTGTTCTTCTTGTTGTTGTTGCTCACAAATCCGCGGTCCTTCCGCTGGCAAAATTTGTGTTTGCATCTGTCTGGCATCTGTCTAGCACTTGCTATTTATGCATATTTGCTGACGCAGTCGGAAAATGTCTGCTATAGAGATGGGTGCGTGTCTAAATGGGATGACATGCTAAACACACACAAAGTATTTATTAAATAATTTATTTACAGTTGCAAATCATATAAGAACACCACGGGAAGTAAGAGAAAACAATTTCAACAATTTTGACATCCTTTAATAAAAAACCTTTGAAACATTAACAAATTATTCTAAACCATTCGTTGTTATGAACTTTTTATTTTTATTATCATTTAATTATTTATTGTGACGGGAAGACAATTTCAACAATTTTGACTTCCATTAATGAAAAACCTTTGAAACATTAACCAATTCTAAAGCATACGTTTTTATGAACTTTTTCTTTATCAAATATAATGATATTATTATAAATATTTTGTTGAAGAAATTGGTTTTTAAAATCTATTCATGTGCGGCTTTTAATGTTTAACTGCGTTTAATGAAAAACCTTCAAAGCATTAACGAAAACATGCTTATCATGCTTATTAAAATCGTATTATCAGCTTTACACTTATTTATTTATTATTTACAGCAGAGATTTCTTCCTTATGTAGAATGTTATTATAAATATATCGTTCAAGCAATTAGTTTTTAAAATCTATTTATAACCAGCATGTGAACTTATGTTTGCCAGATGGATTTTTTCCAGTACCTTTTCATAGATTTTTTATACAAATTCTAGCGTATGGCCTTTGGAAAAGATGGTTCTATGAGGCATAAAGTTATAGTTGATTGGAAGGCTGGTTTAAATGTATTTATTGCACAAGGTACCTATTTTTAATAGTTTATAAAAAAATATTTCCAGCTTATTGATTCTATATGTCAACTTTCTAAAATGTTGTTTTCAATTTATATTGAGCTAAGGCCTTCGTTGCTCTATTTATGTAAATATTTTGAAATGTATATAATTTTCAGATTAATGATTAACTTTAAGTTTAAATAAATAAATAGATAAAGTGCTCAATGCTACCAAGCTCCTTATAATTTGTTCCTTCTTTTAAACACGTTGCAGTTCCATCTTTAGCGCATCTTTCGAGTTGGCAACAATAGCCAAAATTTCAGCTTGACTTGGTTTATCGTTGTGTGTGTGTTTGTGTGTGTAGCACTACAAAATTTACTGCTAATTAGAATCAATTTTGCAAGTGGTGCCCCATCGGCTTAAAGTTCTTAAAGCGGGCAAATAAAAAGTGTTGCCTACTTTTGCGCGTCGTCAAATGACCGCTCATTAGGAGACAACGCAAGCGTTTATAGCTTAATTAACGACATAAAAGTTGTCCAGGAGCCGGAAGCTAGTTAAGTGTCTCCAACCACAATGCCTCTGCTCGTGTCATGTGACACCACTATTGGGGTGTACGGGGCAAATTGTCATTCACTCACACCTTGAACGCTGTTGCCATTTAGCTTGCCGCTCACGTTGCGGTTTCGACTCGTTCTGCGGCTTTGGCTTTTATGACTGATTATGTTGTTTTTCGGCATTTAATTGCCACTTGCCAAAAGTGTGTGT